AAAGAAAAGATACCTATAGGTAAGATGGAACGTATACCATTAGATAAGAAAAATACTGTCAGAGAGGTTTTGAAAAAGGCAGAGTATATTGACTGGGATAGTATATCTGCTAGACTATTATATAGTGGTGCTATAAGAGTTCATGACATTGAAACACTTATGTCAAAAGTTTTATATCTTAACTATACAAATGTTTTCAAAGAGAACATAGAAAAATATATTGAGGGTATAGAGTTTGTGAGATGTCATTGGACAGAGTTGTATGAAAAATATAAAGACAAGGAAAATGTTTTCTTTATAGTGGACCCGCCGTTCTATAACACATGGGATTTTCAATACCAAGTAGACTGGACTTTGAGAGACTCTTTAGAAACTTTAGACGTTTTACATAACCATCCATGCTTTTACTTTACATCCGATAAAAGTGGTTTGGAAAGTGTCGTGAGATGGTTAGAGGACATACATGACTATGAGTTTAGATACGATAAGATAGAATATGAGAGAGGTCCTATAAACTGGAGAAAGTGTCATAACAAAGAAATTTTACTAGTAAGTAAATGTGGTTTGAAATAGGACTACTTGTTTTAGGTTTTTTCCATTGTGTCATTTACTTATTTGACGTGGCAGAAAGATATAGAGAATATGAAGATGAACCAATGCCTGCAAATGTTCAGTATATGTACTCGTAAGAGATATTTTTATCTAATATTAAATGGACGCACAGAACTTAGCGAATGCACAGCAACCTGGACAACCAAACCCAGAGAATATTCCAAATGAAGTTAGAATACAAACTGCAATGGCAAACTATGGTCAAGTGCCAACAGATGTACAAATGCAAACTGCCATGTCAAATGACGCTGCGTTAGGTTTGCCACCATGGTATGCAAATATGAGATGGAAAGAGTTTTATACAAACCCTGAAGTGGGATATAAACAACTCTATGCAGATGACGCGAACACAGGAGTTGACCCAGAGTATGTTTTCTACCAGAGGAGAAACAGAATGTATGAGCTCCAGTTAAAGAATGCTATGGAACTCAACAGGAAACGTAAGAGACTAGGCGGACATTAGATTTTACATATAGTAAAATGGGTTTCTTTGGAAGAATAGGAAACTTCTTTCGAAATGTTGGAAGAGGTATATGGAATGGAAAAAATCTGTCGGAAGAGGAGTATGGAACGGTGTCAAAAATATTGGTAAAAGAGTAGGTCAGTTCGTTGGTATTATACCTAAAGACCCTGAACCAGAAGAACAAGCTCCTGTTATACAACAGCCTGAACCTGCACCACAGTCTAGTTGGCAACCAAATCCAACACCTCAACCGTATTAAAAATCATATTTTTACCGTTCGATAGTAGTTGTATATGAAACTAAGTTCTAAGTAAAACGCGTGGTATAATGGAATTATTCTCTTTCTTCCATCTGTAGTAAACCATACTTGAAAGTCTGAAATACTTCCACTTGGTGGTTCGTATAGCTTTGTAGGTTTTTCGTAAAAGTCATTTGCCAAGCATAAAAAAGAGTTTTGTGCACCAGAAAATGAAGCATGAACTATAATAGCATCTGAGTCGAAAACATTTTCATATGTTCCATTAGGGTTTTCGACTTCATAAAAGTTCGGGTGTACTGGATATTCTGCAGGCTGATTTAACATCCTCAAAAATCTATACCATGCCAAGTTGTTATATTTTGTAGAAATATAAACGTCTTCTCCAAGGTCTTCTATTCTATTGATTTTAACAGTTGCATTTTTCCTGTCATATATAATATCGAGATGGTACTCTCCTTCGTCAATGTTGTACTGTTTTGCATATTCGAGATAGATATCGTTTATTTTTTCTTGAAAAGCTTGAAGAGTTGTTTCTAAGTTTACAAGCAAATTCACTTGTAAAAGTTTTCCCTGTTCAAATTTCTCATACGTACGTTTTTCTTTGTTATAGTATCGAACTTCAAAAGCGACCGTAAATGGGAAACCATGTATGGCTTCTGAAATGAACTTCATTCTACGAAAGCCAACAGCTTTTGTGACGGATGGGTCTCTTAGCCATCTCAATGGGTAGTCAAAACGATAGCCTTCATGCTTTACGGTCTCTGTCTCAAACTTTTGACCTACGTTAGTAAAAAGTTCATCTAATGGTTTAGTTGTAGCAACTCTTGAATTTTCTTTTTCTATTGAAAGCATATTTTATCTAGAATAAAAATGTCGAAAGAAACAGCGTCTATGAGAGAAATACAACACAACCGACAACTCATTGTACAAGCTCTAAATAAGAACACAACAAACTTTTCAAACTATTCTAAGATATCTGAGTCATTGAAAGAAGGAAACTTAAAACTGACGATAAATCCATTGACAGACGAGTTTCTGTTTCAAGACAGTAAGAACCATACTGTTTGTATAAATCCAACAAAAAGAACTTTAAACGAGAAACCTATAGATGAACTTCTTTTGAAGGCAGATATTGACAACAAAGCTGACAAAGAGTATGTAGATGCAACAAGAGACTATATTCTCGCATGGACAGATAGAACATACCCACAAAAACATCATACACATAACATCTATGACGTAGATGAACTTCAAGAAATGTTAGATGACAAAGCGGATAAAACATATGTTGACAATAAAATGTCAAGTGAAGTGACAAGAGCTGACAAAGAATATTCTAAAAAGACTCATACACATACCATTGCAAATATTACAAACTTACAAGAAACCTTAAACAGGAAAAGTGACGTTGGACATACACACGATTTCTTCGCAACTGTTGGTATAGAAAATATTGCAGGAACGGTTGAAGAACCTGATGGAACTGGTGGGATGTATTAAATTGGAAACCTCCTAACTTTCCACAAGGTTTAACATCGGAGGATGACATAACAACGATGAAAGACATTAAATGTAGAAATGTCTATGTCATGGAGGATGAAAACAAAGTTAAATTCACTGCTCAAGATTTATATGATAAAAAAGCTGACAAAACAGAGCTTCAAACGTTAAAGACAGAAATACTTCAAACAGTATATCCTATAGGTTCTATTTATACGTCAATGAACTCTACCAAACCAGAAGTAGTACTTGGTTTTGGAACTTGGACTCAAATAGTCGACAGGTTTTTGTATTGTGCAAACTCTTCAAAGGAAACAGGTGGAAGTAAAACGATTTCAGGTGAAAACTTACCTGCGCACAGTCACTACATAGATTTAAGTACATCTCAAGCAGGTTGGCATAAGCATAGATTTTGGGATTGGTCAGCAATGAAAAAGGTAAAGGATATGATGTTAAAGACAACGTTCAGTTTGCTATAAATTGTTTCTGGGTAGCACACAGGGAGAAGGAAACCATACACATCGCGTTTCAGGGTATACGCAAACAACAGGACAAAGTAAAGACTACATGCCACCTTACATGACAGTTTACGCATGGTATAGAAATGCTTAGTCGTCATTTTCAACTTCTTTAGCATATTCGTCAGGAGTTGTCTTATATTTGTTAGGAACTGTCTTTGAAAGTATACCACCTTGAACTTTGACAAGTTTGAAACGAGGTCTGACAATAGTAGTTTTATCTTCTGCTTGCAGTGTGTACATTTTGCCATGTTTGCCTAAAACTTCATAATATTCTCTTGTATACTTTCTTCTATTTTTACGAACACGAATGTGAGTACCTGTCGGGTTCCCATTGTTGTCATAGTCAATAGTATTTTCATATGGGTCGCGTTTGGTATTTCTATTTTTACTTTGTCACCTTTCTGAAGTTTGAAGCCCGGCATTCTTTCTTGTTTGTCTCTTTTGACTAAATTATTAAATATATAGTCTTTCTCTAAGTCAGGGTTGTTTTTCATTTCTTCGGGAGAGTGGTTTCCCAAACCTTTTTGTTTACGGTTATTGTAAATATTTAAAACTTGTCTCATCTTTGCCATGGAGAAGTGTCTATATTTGTCGTCATATGACATTTCATCTACCTCACCACCTTGTGGTTGATTTAAGTCTCTTAAGATTTTTATACAACTGTCAATGACACCAAGAGCAGAATGGTTTTGGTCGACAATGAAATATTGGTTTACATTTTTTGAACGCAGATAGTTTTTAATCATCTGATTTGAAAGAACTTTCACAGTCAGATGTCAGTTTTGTTGGATGGTATTTGTCAACGAATATTGTCAAAGCAGTTTTCACATCTAAAATATTTTTGGACATAATGGTATGGCTTCACAGTATCTTGTGTTTTGACCGACAAATATTAGCCATATGGTGGTCCATCTTCTCTATACCTCGGAATGTTTTCCAAGATATCCATAAACCAAGCATTTGGTGTTGAACTAAAGATTTTTATCATGAGTGCTTTCTTTGTCGCTTTAGAAACATACGGGTCCTTGTTTGGATTCGTCATTTTTAACCCATAAGAAATGGGTTTATTTGGTGCAATAGCAGGAGTGCATCTAGATTTTTACGCAGTGGGAACATAGCCAGAGGTGTATTTGGATTGGAAGGAAGATTTTGAGTACATTAGGTATACTGAAAGAGAAAGCACAACCTATTATACAAACTGTACAGAAAGGTTGGGATGTAGCACGAGATGCAGCAAATCTTATTCCAAATCCTGAAACAAGAGGAAAAGTTCAAGGATGGATGGACAATGTAGGAAGACAAGCAGGAAACTACTATAACAAAGCAAATGACTACTATAACCAAGCAGGGCACTATATGGACCAAGGTGAAAGATTCTTTAACAGAGGATATAACCATGCACAACAATGGGTAAACAACAACCAACCGCAACCGCCTCAAACGTGGGGAATGTAAATTTTTTACTGAGATGAAATGAACAATACAGCATTGAGACAAATGGGTTCAAGATGGATTTGTCGGCTTCCAGCAGTTACACAACGTGTTTGTCAAGTTCTTCCTATACCTCAAGAAGTTTTAGACCGACTTAAAAAACCTAAACAACCAGTTGAAAACAAACCAAACTAAAATTTTTTACTGAGATGAAATGACCGAAGAAGTTGAAACGGTAGATTTGACACCACAAACAAAAAGTTCAGAACCATTGTCAAAACCTGTCAAAGAACTTACAGATGAAGAAAAAAATTCAATAATAGAAAGTGCCAGGTCTGGAAATACAAACCCTAACTATAAAGTCACTTTTCATAGAAATGGAACGGCTAGTATCTCAAAAAAGAAACAGACTCTCACAAATAAAATATTGAAGTCTGAAGGAGCTTTCGAGACAACAGATGGAAAAGTTTACTTCACTGACCAACAGTTCATTATAGAACATCTCATTGACTTAGAGTCGAAATATTCTAAACTTTACAACAAACACAAAAAGTTGAAAGGAAAACAAAAACAAATGGCATATGATATTTATGAAGATGTTGACACACATCCTGCAAGTGAGGTAAAGTCAGAGGAACCGAAAAGTGACGAAAAACCGATAGAAGAAGAACCAAAAACTGAAGATAAACCAAAACCAAAGTTTAGTCAACCTTCATTAGCTGGTATGGGTTGGCGTCAAAGACTTATGGCAGCAGGCGGTTATGTAAGTAAAGAAAAAACATTTTTTTATTTTTATAAAAATGCCCCCATATAGAATGGATAGAAAATCTGCTAGAATAAAAGCAGAGTTGCAAAGATATGGTTGGAGAGTTTCGAAGAAGTTTAAATATAGGAAGGGAAGACCCATAAAAGTCTATGACAAACTGCTGGTCTTCGCTACGAAATGGACTAGAAACAGCACGCGCAAATTATCCAAACAGACTAGAGAGGTTAGAAGAAGAACGTCTTATGACATGCCTTTCGATGTTAGTGAACCTCAAGTTGAAGGACACGACGGCTTTGCCAGATTCTACTGGAAACATGACGAACAATTGCATCCTTTGAGAAGGAAAAAAGGTAGTGAGAGATGGTCATGCTCCCATGGAAAGAACAAGATATGCATATGAAAAGTATCGTGAAGTTAGAAGTAAAATGGTTCAGGTCGAACCTTTACAGTAAACTTTGACGAAGGAAAGAACAAAGAAGGCTTCATGGGAGTACTTGCTGCCATACAAGACGGAAATAAGAAAGGATACAATCTCAGACTAACCGTAACAGATTTGGATGGTCATATTACTATGCGCATGGCAATGAACAAACAGCTGCAAACTTCTTGACGCTTTCAAGACTACAAAGAGAGAACAAATGGTTGACTCCGACTCAGACATTTTGAATGCAATTGAAGGAATTGCAAGTGTCAAGTTCGAATGGTACCAACCTAACCCTCAAGCAGTCAGACAACATGCTGGATACTTCCCGTTCATAAATAAGTCTGACATTGACTTGACAGGTATGGAATTTACAATTCAATTGAAAAATTGTCAATGAACCTTGTATTCTTACATGTCTCAGGAACTCTGGTCTTTTACAGAGAGAAGATGAAGTATCTTGAGTCATGTGTGAAGACAAGGTACATTCTCAGAGGTCAATTGGCAAAAATTGCACCGTTGGCAAATGTCAATATCCGAGTCAACATTCCTACAGAAAGGTTCTTCACATGACGACTATGTTGTTGACAAAGACTTACCATGGTTGAAGATTGTAATTGTCCACAACCACTTCATGTTGAACGAAAGTCTTATGTTCGGAAAAGGCAAGTGCAACATTGTCAGAGCTGTAACATTCTTTTCGAGAAAGGTTTGTTGGAACCAATTCCAGATGACAAGCTGACAGAAACTTTTGTACCAAAAGACGAAACAAACTTTTCACTGTTAGCAAGACCAAAAGTTGTTCCAGACAAAGTTCTAGTACAAAAGAAGTACACAGTTCCAAAAGGAGTTGGATTGTTCGGATACCAACCTGAACCAGAAGAACTTCCAATGAGGTTGCAAGAACTTCAAGATGCTATAAACAAACTTCCATTGAGACATCCAATTGACGTCAAATTGTATTGGAGAGCATCTGAGTTAGGTCAGAAGGTTTTATATGAAACAGGTTGCTTCGACGATGTTTATGAGATAACAGGAGAAGTTTCTCAGAAGATAAGAGACTCGCTTGAATTTCCAAAAACTGGTCCATTGGATGCGATAAGTTCGACTCATACGAAAAAATATACTATGTCGACCTTAACGCTGCGTACATGAGGTTCGTCCAATATATCCCGACTGGAATTCCAAACGAAGATGGTGAGTTCCCAGGAAGGAACTATACAGTTGGAAAAGTCATACAACAACTGTATGATATTAGGAAAGCTTCAAACCCCAAACTTGCAATGACATTAAAATTGCTTATGAATTCGACATGGGGGTATTCCATTAAAAAACCTCAAGAGATGAAGAGTAAACATTATGAGAAGGTCGACAACTTTGTTGAAAGGTTTTCTCCTTTTGTTTTGAAATACGAATTTACCGAAGGTGAAAGTGGCTTAGTAACCACATTAAAACCTATTGTCGAACATTGGTCTTACCCTCAGTTCGCAAAAGCAGTCCTTGACGAGTACAACAAATTCTTCTCCGAAGTCAAATCCAAAGTCAAGGTTTACTATGAGAACATGACGCACTCATGACGAACGAAGAAGGTACAACAAACTCATTGAAATGGGAATGGTCGGTGAAAAGATGGGTCAATTCAAATTGGACAAAATTTTCACCGAAGTTCATGTCCTCTCCAAGCGTAAGTACTGGGGTGTTAAAGAAGACGGCACAGAAATAAAACATTGCATGAAATAAAAAATTTTTATATTCCTTCCTAGCTAATTTCCGTTTAATTTCATGGTCGCCCTCGGAGTCTTTGAATCGGACAGGTCGAGTTACACCATTCTTGGTCTCAAACCATATATAACCTGTTTGTCTGTATTTTCGTCGACTATGGCACGAGACACGAACATTGACCAAACGGACAAAAAGTGTCATTTCGGATGGTCCCGCAGCCAATCGCATTCGAGCACTTCGAAGAAGCCTTACGTTCCAAGGGAGAGGGTGTCTGGTGCAAGGCAGAGGTCATGAGACTCTACGAGCAGTACATCCTCAATGCCTGGGAGGACAAATCGTCCTTGGATTGGCAATTCTACCAACTCCTCTGGGACGACCTCCTACGCAACTGGGATGACGAAAGAGTTCAATTCAGAGGTCAGGAACTAATTTTGCAAATGACCATTAATTTAAGCCGCTTACGCAACTAAAAACTTAAATTTACTTGGGGTTTCCCCCTAAAATAAAATTTTTTTACTCTTAGAACCACTCGAGGTTCTCCTTACGGTTGTTGAGCTTGTCACCGTCAATGTGTCTGACCTTCGTCTTCTTGTTTGGATTTGGAACCCATTGCATACCGACAAGCCTTCCCATGGAAATTGTACCGTAATTTCGAAGGGTAAGGGTCAAGTGTCCCAAGTTGTTGAGGACTGGGGTAAGAACCTTGCCTGTCGCCTTGTTGCGGATTTTGTATGGGTAGGGTTGGGAAATTTCGTAAGCGTCATCGGCAACAAGGGTTGCCCAAACTTCCTCTTCTTCGTGTTTCTCTTCTTCCTCTTCTTCCTCTTCTTTGATAATACCTTCTTCAATTTGGTACTCACGAAGTACGGTGTTGCATGTTCTGTCCTTTCCGAGTACCTTCCAGATGGCGTCTATCTCTTCGAAGAAACGGTAGATGAGTCTGGCAAGGTCTCGGTTCTCTCTCGCGTAAATGCGCAAGGTTTCCGCTAAATCGTTCAGGACTTTCTCATTGGAAGCTTGGTTCATGAGGAACTCACCTTTAAGTCCCTTCATCTCTTCCATAAGACTACTTTGGAGAGTCTTAACGGTGTTTGTCAGATGAGCTTTCAAATGCATAATTTGAATTTGAACTGGGCGCTTGTCTGGCAACCTTGAAAGGACATCTGCTATTGTGTTCGGCTTCGGTGCTTGTTCGGACATCGAAAAAATGAAGTGGTTTGAGAATGACGGTTTTACTTCAAAAAGCTTGTTATGACGGTTAAGTCATACAACAAGTTTAAAATAATATCTTGTTCTTCTTCTGAACGTTTGTTGTTCTTCTTCGATAAAAGTTTCGAACATGAGAACCAAAAAACGTTTTTTGAGATTGCGGAAGAGTTCAGGCAAACGTTCATATTCTGGATATGTTGGGAGCAGTTCAAAACATCTGAGCTGACTTTCGGACAAAATTGGGACAATGTCAGAAAATTCATCTTTGGTCGGACTGCTTGAAGGTAAGTCCCTTACATGTAAGTAGCTCTGGTAAAGTCTTCTCATTTCTGCTAACTTCTGGAGTATAGCTTCGTAATTTAAGAGTTTTAATTTTAATTGTCTTATTCCTCTCTTGACATCTAAACGGCAAGTATCCATGAGGTCAAGAGTAGCTTTGGTAGCTTTAAGTGGAGCTATCTCTTCTTTGACTTGTGCAATTTTGGTTGCAATTGTGATTTGAGCTCCTTCAAGTTCGCCGTCTATGTCGTTCTCAACACCTTCAAGCATGGCTTGAAACTCTTCATCGGTCCATTGAGATTGGTGTGGGACGAATTTAACTTGCTTCATTCAAAAAATGAAAAAAATGTTTTTACTCAAAGCGTGCCATGTATATGGCTATAAGAAACTTACCAGAAGGCTTCTTCTTCACATGAGTCTTTGGCAACTTGAGTGTTGGTGTTGGAGTTCTTGGGGGAGGTGGCTCTGAAATTTCAATTCTCTCTCGAGCGCAACAACAGATGTCAGAATAACATTCTCCACTGTCCTTCTTGCCACCATAAACTGTGTATTGACCAAACTTGCATTTACAGGAAGACCGGTCAATACAAGGTTCACAGTTGAAATAGTTGTACACAAACCTGTTGAGTACGAGTGTGAGTAAAAACATAAAAAAAGTGAAGTTAAACGTTAAGGTTTACTGGATTGGTTGGATGTCGCCTTCACAGGTTATGTAGAACGGCTGACCAGAGAAGTGAAGGAGACCCTTGAGAATTTGGCTCATTCTTGGGAAAGGGTTCTCTCTGTTTGGAAGTTGTATCCAAGGACGCTTGGCAAAGAACTTGAGAAGAGCTTCTTTCTTTGCTTGCTTTATGTCGTCGTAGGCTGTCCCGTCTGGTATTTGAATTGGAATTCCAGTCGAAGTCTCGAGATTCAAGGCAGCCCTTCCCGTTATCCAACAGTTAACAAGCTTGCCTTTTACATTCTGCCTGAGGAAGTCTTTAACAAGCTCGTTAATTTCAATTAGGTAAATTGCCTCGTCGGTAGGTTCGACCTCGACCATTGCTACTGTCAGTAAAAGTACTGCTACTGTCAGAAAAAGTACTGCTACTGTCAGTAAAAGTACTGCTACTGTCAGAAAAAGTACTGCTACTGTCAGTAAAAGTACTGCTACTGTCAGTAGAAGTACTGCTACTTG